TTCAGGAAATTACCAAATATCCTTAGCTATTCCTAATGTTTTTCTCATTTTCTTTAAAAACTGTTTTTGAGTGAAGAAAAACATGAAGAACAATGGAACAACAAAACAAAATGTTTTGTAGAACATCTTTTTCGGTGATCTATTCGAAGTGTCTAATAATTAGCATATTACATACATCTCACCATACTTCTATGTAACTTACTTTGACTTACTCAATAACAGGTCATAAGCCTCTTTCCATGGCAACACTTTTTAATTTATTGCACAATTTTAATGGGTATACAATATTCCATTGTATCTTCCTACCACCTAATTTGATCTCACAGGAACCCATTTTTAGATACTTATTTGTTTCCAGATGTTTCCCCTTACAAACAACCCTGCACTGAGCGTCTTTGCACAGAGACCACACCCTCGCTGAGCAAGGATTCCTTGGGAGAAACTTCTGACACAGGCTGCTTCTGCCAAAGACTGTGCATTCCTTTGCTTTGGGAGGCATTCTGCCACCCTTCATAAGAATGAACCAATTCGCATCTCTGCTAAGGGTGCAGAGGGTGCCTTGCCCCCACATTCTTCCTAACATTGGTTTTTATACATCTTTAAAAGTCTTTGACAACCAGATAGACTCATTTTAAATTGTAGATGGTTGTTAACATTTTAACAACGGTTCCTCTCATAGCAACACAGAAGTACTGATTAGCACTCCTCTGTCTATTTATATCACATAACAATATTTCTCTGAATGAATAGGCTTCATAATACTTTCCTTCTTGGGGCACTTAATGAAAATCTGTGGGTGAATTCAATTTTGTTTCACACACAAAAGTCTCCTGAGGACGTATTTCAAGAGCAGAATCTACAGCCAGGCCTCACCAACAGACAAAACCAATCTGACCATTAGGACTTCATTGCCTGAGTCTGGCCTTGGGTAGCTGATTACTGAGGGAAGGGATTTATTGATCAATTTTGGAGAAAATAAAAGAAAAAAGAAAAAAAAATCCTCCACCCAAAGCCAACAACAACAACAATAACAATAAATCTCCATCTAGTCAACACAGTATTCAATATATACAAACTCAAATTTATTTCCTCCCTACTCAGATCAAGTAACTCGACTCAACTTTTAATTTATTCAGGACAGTGAACATCAGTTATTTTGTTTTCATTAATTAGGAATTTGGGAACTTCTGAAAAGATCCAGGTTAAAAATAATCTTTGCTTAGGAAGGCTTTTCTTGAGGGGGAAAATGTAGTGCACATATGATTAGGGAAAGAGTTAATCTACGTAAGAAGACAATCTGTGCTTAAAAATTCTGAGATTTCGGAGCTGGCACTGTAGTGCAGTGAGTTAAAGCCCTAGCCTGAAGTGCTAGCAGCCCTTATGGGCACCGGTTCGAGTCCAGGCTGCTCCATGTCTCATCCAGTGAGACCCAGAAGAAGCTCCTGGCTCCTGGCTTCAGATTGGCCCGGCTCCGGCAGTTGCGGCCATCTGGAGAGTGAACCAGCGGATGGGAAGATCTCTCTCTCTCTGCCTCTACCTCTCTCTGTAACTCTGCCTTTCAAATAAATAAAATAAATCTTAAAAAAAAAAAAAACTCCGAGATTTCAAAGTAGCCATAAGATGGCAACTTAATGTGGTCAGCAAACAAGTTCTTTGAAGACTTACTAGAAACTTCACTATTCCTGAGTATGAGGTATTGTACATTATTTACCCTACTTACTAGGAAGTTTTAAAAGTCATATATATTTTATAAACTATATTACTAATTTTGATAGGCTTCTTTTCCTATTTGTAGAAAAGAATGAAATTTTATTGTATTATGATGATTCATGTAGATAAATATTACAGTAGCTCTGTATATCTTGGCTTAATAAATACTAATTAAATTCACATAGACTTCTCAACATAAATTTTATTAGTGTTAGTACAGATTGACCTAATCTATTGACTTTCATCTACTTGTCCAAAAAATGCACTGATTTTCATTTTGACTGAGATGTTAACCTACAGACACATACATATATATAACTGGAAGGAAGAATTTAAAATGCCCTGTGGCAGAGGATGTGTCCCACTGTGTTCACAGAGCTTCTTCTTTGAAAGTTTTGGGGCTCTCTAAGCACCCTTGCCTGCCACCCAGCCATTCCCATCCCGTGCATTCCATTGTGTTCTTTTAAACTTATTTATACTTTTTAAAACCATGAGATTTTCAAAAGCACAGCCTATAAAAATACAACAAAACACATTTTAGGAAGATGAAAAAGCATCATTAAGCTAGTAAAGTTAATATAGGAAATAAATGTAGTTATAGCTACAAGGAATCGAGCTTCATTAAACTGGATAAATACTGAACAAATACTGCAGCTAGATTTTCTTGAAATCCTGGAGATTAGAACGTAAGGGAAGGGGTATTTTCTCTGAATTTGCTAAATTACCTTGGCTAGTAAACACTGATAATAGTGTTGTTGTTTCTGGGGGTTGTATACGGTTTTGTAAGGCTGCATTTAAGTTAATGCACTATTAAATTAAGAGTAGCTTCTAATGTCTGCAACTCCTCAGAGTAATTATTATGATGCTAATTAGAAAAAATATTGATCCTGAAATAAGATTGGACTTAAATCTCTTGATTAATTAAAATACAAACACACATACACACAGTTTGGATCATAAGATTTCAAGGAGAGAGTCATCTTATAATGTATATAGTCCTGTAATCTACCCAATGCTTGAATATTCCAACACTATTTTCAGACTTTACATCCCAACCAGGGGTTAATCGCCATGTTAATCACCTGCTCCTCTCTATCACTTCCAACCACTTCTCCTATTTGTGTTTCTTTGCTTCATAGAAAATAAGTCACATAGGGTATCATTTCATTTCATACCACTTGGCTGCATCAGCTGAGGGAATTTTTCTCAGAATAGTTGCAGTAGCAGGCAATTCTACAGTTTAGGTAGAAACTGCCACTTTTCATTCAACCATCTTATTAGTCTGGATAGTAAATGTTTTGCTGTGTGTTTATGGTGGGCATTTGGGGCCTGGAGTCTAGAATATCTGCAGAGCCCAGGTAGAGAGAATCACATCCTAGAAAGTGTTTGCCACAGGATCTTCTCAGTAAATCTAAGTACTGGCCCTTAGAAATAATAAAAGTTGTAGGATACATACGTAGTTTCTTGATGGTTTTCCCATAAATACTGAAGAAAGTTACCTACTTGAAATAATATATTAAAATTTTGTTTAAAAAATCCAGTAATGAGTAAGCCAAGAGAAACACCAATATTAATATTAGGCACTGCTATGAAAAATTCACACATTATCAAATTTTTAAAGGGTAGTGTTTCTTTTTCTATAGCTTCTTTCATTTTGCTACTCTCATCCTTTCTTTTTTTAAAAAGTACTATTTATTTATTTGAAAGCCAGAGTTCCAGAAAGGCAGAGAGAGAGAGAGAGAGAGAGAGAGAGAGAGAGGTCTTCCAACTGCTGGTTCACTCCCCAAATGGCCACAATGGCTGGAACTGAGCCAATCTGAAACCAGGAGCCAGAATCCTCCTCTGGCTCCCCCATGCTGGTACAGGGGCCCAAGCACTTGGGCCATCTTCTACTGCTTTTTCAGGCCATAGCAGAGAGCTGGATCAGAAGGGGAGCAGCTGGAATATGAACTGGTGCCCATATGGGATTCTGGGGCCACAGGCAGAGGCTTAGCCCACTAAGCCACAGTGCCGGTCCCTACTGTTATCCTTTCTTAAGCATCTTGTGTGTGTGTGTGTGTGTGTGTGTGTGTGTGTTTAAAGACTTTTTTATAGCAGTTTTAGGTTCACAAGAAAATTGAGAGGAAGGTATAGAGATTTCCCACATACACTGTGCCTTCCCCTCCCCCAGCCTCTGCTATTATCAGTACACCATGCATTTGTTACAAGTGGTAAATCTTTATGGAGACATCATTATGACAAAAGTCCATAGTTTATATATGAGTTCAGTCTAGATGCTGAACATTACTTGTATGTCTTGTTTTCTTTGTAATTAGCCTATACTAAATTCTTAGTGGGAATACCAAGGATATATAAGTCATAGGTCAGACTGGTAGAACAAATACAGCATAGGCTGGGTAGCTTTCTGGTAGTTCTCAGGACTGAGAAGTTCAAGATTGCAGTGCTTGAAGACCCAAGTATCTGATGAGGGCATATTTCCTTGTTTGCTGACAGCTTTTTTCCCATTACATCCTCACATGGTGGAGAGCAGAGGGAGCAAGCAATTTCTCCCCTGTCTCCTTTCAGAAGGGTACTGGTCCCATCATAATGGCTCCACCCTCAAATTGCGTCCCAAAGGCCCATCTCCAAATACCATCACTCTGGCAATTAAAGTTTCAACAAACATGAATTTGGGGGGCACACAAATGTGCAGTAGATAAGACAAACTTAGAAAGGAAGGCTTCTAATGATGGTGGATTTTAGGATTCTGAATGAAAGGCCAAAATGCCAGGTTTTTCAGTCATTTGAATGACAACCAACCAAGATGTGGCTAAGGATAATCTCTATCCAATATGAGAACCAAGTGCCTTTTCTACATGAAAACATAACACTGGCAACCAACAGAATATTGAGCCCCAGACATCACCAGCTGTGTTAAATCTACTCATGCCATCTCATTGCCTTGAAGAAAGTGTTGCAAACTAAAATATCTAGTACTGATGGCATTATTCAATGTTGTTTTATGATCAGCTACTTGACAATGAAAGGCATTAGATCATCAGGGAAAATGTGAAAGACTAGAATCAAACCAGTATTCCTTCAACCAAGCTTTGCTTCCAGTGTTTTAGATTGAGAAGCTGAAGTACTTGTATGAAATAACACTGAGATGTATAAAAAGGTCTTCAAGAACTTACTTGCTTTTTGTTATTTTATTCCTAATAAACACTGTTATTTATGTTAGTGCATCTGTCTTATTCAAAATACATGATAAACCTTCTAAATTAGGTATTTCTTGTGGGGAGCAACCCGGACTAGACTAAGTTACTCAAATTAAGACTTATTCTATGCATCTGCTCTCCCACAATATGGCGCTGGGAGAGGAGAAAACAGCTTCTACCCAGCTGCCTCCAGTTCAACCAATAAACAGCAGGACCTGCTCCTGATTGGAGAAGAGCAGCGTACTCGGCGTGTGGGCAGCCGAGTTGGGATTGGCAGAGGAGGACTATAAAGGAGGAGAGAGACGGCATGCACCAGGAACATCTAAGAGGAACACCTGTGCAGCCCCCGAGAGAGCCGGCCGGCGGTGTGCCGCTCCCCTGCGGAAGTGGGGAATGCGGCCAGGGGGAACTGCCCTTCCACGGAGGTGGAAGGGATAGTAGCCAACCCGGGAAGAACCAGCAGCAAACCCGGGGAGGGCCGAGCAGACGAAAGAACAGCGCAGGGTCCTGTGTCGTTCCTCCACGAAGAGGGGGAGCGACATAATGGTGCCGTGACTCGGTTAGGAAACATAGGACGGATATGAAACTTAGGAGGGAAGAAACGGGAAGAACTGGGAAAATGCCAGAGAGAGAGACTAGCAAACAGCCTAGGGAAAAGCTGGACGAAAAAGGTGCCAGAAGAAGCTATTGAAAGCCTAGGCATAGACTCGGATACGGACTGTGGGAAAGAAGTTAGGATTTAAAGTGAAAGCAAGAAGAAACTTAGACTCAGATACGGACTGCAGGTTGAAAGTGAAAGTGAAACCTATAAGAAACTTAGACTTGGATACGGACTGTGGGGAGAGGCCAGGAGAAATGAGAGGAATATTGTTGGAAGAAAACTTAAGGAAACATACCGGGTAGAGAAAAATGTTAGGGAGGATGAAGCCGCGAGTGCAGGCCGAGGCGGAGACTTTATAAGCCACCTTGGAATTCTTCAAGTCACCCCGGGGAGCAAGAGGCGAAGATCTGGAACCAGAGGCAGAGACGTGGGCCGCCAGGATTCGCCAGGTTAGTCCGGGGAACTTGGACTGAATGCTGGTGGTGGCGGAAACATTCGCGGAAGCCGCTGTGTGCAAAGAGAGCACGGGGCGTGAATAGATAGAGAACGCGGGGCTGGCGCGAGGCCGTGGTGCGGGCGCGAAGTGTGTGGAGACTGTGGAGCGTGCGCGCAGAGCCTGGAACCCGCCGGCAGGGCGAGGCGCCGGGAAGCCGCGCAGAGCCGTGAAGCTGCCGGGGGCGAGGTGCCGAGAAGCAGCTTCGGGGTGGGCACCGGGAAGCCGCAGGGATAAGAGAACCAGAAGTTTAGAAGTAAAATGAGAGAAATAGGAATGCTGGAAAATAGAAGTAAAATAGGAGAAATAGGAATGCCCGGAGATAGAGAAATAGAGAAATAGAAAGGCCTCCCCACAACATGGCAATGAGAGAGCTTGGATTCGGTCTGCCTGATTAGTGAGGCGATGAGCACCTGCGGGCGGCTGGCAGCTTATGCGCCGCAGGTCACCAAAGATAGGCACGAATCAACACCAATAGGCCTCCCCACAATATGGCAATGAGAAAGCTTGGATTCGGTCTGCCTGATTAGGGCGGTAAGCACCAGCAGGCAGCTCGACCAGAGTATGAGCTGCAGGTCACCGAAGACAGGCACGCATCAGCGCCTAAAAACCTCCTCACAACATGGCGAAGAGAGGACCTGGATTCGGTTTGCCTGATTGATAGGACTTGTAAGAACCTGTGGCAACTCTAGCAAGTAGAGCAGAGTGTGTGCTGTGGGACACCGAAGACAGGCGCGTATCAACGCCAAAAAATAAAAAGAAAGGGGGATCTGTGGGGAGCAACCCGGACTAGACTAAATTACTCAAATTAAGACTTATTCTATGCATCTGCTCTCCCACAATATGGCGCTGGGAGAGGAGAAAACAGCTTCTACCCAGCTGCCTCCAGTTCAACCAATAAACAGCAGGACCTGCTCCTGATTGGAGGAGAGCAGCGTACTCGGCGTGTGGGCAGCCGAGTTGGGATTGGCAGAGGAGGACTATAAAGGAGGAGAGAGACGGCATGCACCAGGAACATCTAAGAGGAACATCTAAGGGGAACACCTGTGCAGCCCCCGAGAGAGCCGGCCGGCGGTTTGCCGCTCCCCTGCGGAAGTGGGGAATGCGGCCAGGGGGAACTGCCCTTCCACGGAGGTGGAAGGGATAGTAGCCAACCCGGGAAGAACCAGCAGCAAACCCGGGGAGGGCCGAGCAGACGAAAGAACAGCGCAGGGTCCTGTGTCGTTCCTCCACGAAGAGGGGGAGCGATATTTCTTATGCCTATTAGTCATTAAACAGGAATCATAATTTTTCAGGAAAGTATCTTTTACTACCCTTCCCTTATCTCTTATATTTGACGAAGACAAATATGAGAACTAATTAAATTGATTTGCTGTTTAACTTGACCAAATTCTCTGATCGATTTTCCCTTTTGCTTTGGGACCATCTTTTGTGAAATTTGTGGAGATAGATATTTCATAATATAGATGTTAAATAGGTACAGATTTTCTTGTGTCTTTCAGTATGATTTCAAATATAATAAATTTATATAATCTCAATGCAAACAGTGATATTCAAACTCTTAAATTTTTCAAGTAGTTATAGAAGCCAAGTGGTTATAGATTCAACTGACTTTACTGACAAATACAAAGTCACAATGAAAGGATAAAAATAATTTTCTTTTTGCAGAACGTTTTGAATTCCATTTTTGAATTCTTCCTGGATGTACTATGGAAAGGCATTCAACAGAGGGCTTAAAGCTCCGAGTAGAACATTGATTCTGCTGGGAATGATGAAAAATTGGAGAGTGTGAAAGAGTCTTTATACATCAGAGAAATCAATGAAAATGAAAGATAAAAAATATGACATTTGAATAATGCCATTCAATTGGAGAATAGCTATTAAATGATTTTTATGAAGCCACAGATATCAATAAATCAATAGATGATGAAAATTAAGTTTGCTTGACTTGTTCCTTTCTAATGAACAGCTAAAATATAGCAAATGTAGATTGTCAGTGCTTATGCTGAACTTCAGAAAACTCTTATGTTACACCTATTAACTGCATTGAGCTTTCTTTTTCAGTAAGATTTATAAAGCTCCCCTCCATAAAGCCTCTTGGTATCGAAGTTGCTGCACACCCTTGACAATATAGGCAAAATGTCAAAAATTATGAATTATCATAGTATAAGAATATATCTCTCTTTGTTTCCAAGGAAGGCAGTTATATTTTCACATAAAAACCATGTATGCATAAATCAATTCTGAATGAGAGCTTTAGCTTTATTTTGGTCGTGTGGTAGCCAATTTCATTTTTGTTCCAAACATTTTAGGTACAAGCATTCTTCAAAAAGTTCATGTAAAACATGTGTTATGAAAAAACTATGCATGGATTTTAATTTTTTGTAGGAAATAGCTAATTTTAATTTATAAAAGGATTTTATTAATAATTAGATTCTCAGAGTCACAGCCAATGCATAATTACTACAACAATTTCAAGTTAACGTGATAGTTATTCAAAGAGAACAGATTTAATGCAGTTCATAGATACAATTAGAAAATAATGGTACTTCCTTTCTTCCCCCCTCCCTTTTTCTTTTCTACTAAATTTTGATGTAACATATTTTTAATTTACATTATTGTCAAAGTCTTAATGCTCCACTAAATAAAGAGTTAACAAGTGGGGAAAAAAGCCACGTAGTTTAGCCAGAATATAGGCCAGGGCTATAAGTAATAATCAAATGAAAAGATGATAATTTCACTCTTTTACAACAGATTTAAAAATAATCACATATCATTAAAACCATAATAGTATTTCATTCTTAATCACTGGATTTGACAGATATAAAACAAAGTTGAAAGAACTATTTTTGCAGCAATATTGCATGGGTTTTAGCATCAAGGTAAGTTTATATTTTCATTCCATTTGTCAAGAATTTCAGAAGACCTTCCTACTTCAAAGCTACCCCACAGATATCTCTCAGGGAGACTCTGGGGCTGTGTGTTGTATTTATGACTTTCAAAGAGTGTTTATATGCAAAAATAAATCAACTGCATAGGTAGAGGGAAAGACCCTCTCATTGAAGTTCAGTAGAAGCTCTTAATCAGTGTTACTTTTCCTAGATTAAACCTTCACTCCCCTTTCAAACAAACATATAAATATCTTGTGTACACTATATGCTGAGGGCAGCTAGAGTCTTAACTTTCTCTATTTCAAAATTAGAGAAAAAATTGGAAATTTATTTGAGAGTTAGGGAGAAAGTGCTCCCATTCATTGGTTCACTCTCCAAATGCCTGCAACTATTTGGCTTGGGCTGGGTCTGAATCTGGGAGCTGGGAATACAATCCTGGTGTCCATGTAGGTAGCAGGAGCCTAATTACTTGAGTCATCACTACTGCTTCCCACGTTCTACACTGGCAGGAAATCTGGAGTCAGGAGCTGAGCCAGAGCCAGAAATCAAACTCAGGTACTGAAATGTAGGATGTGGGTGTCTTAACAGCTAGTCCGATGCCTGTTCCTAAAACTTTTTTAATTTAATATTTCCATCTGGTTCTTCTTACATCATGTACCTGCCTCATATTCCTAATATTCTCCTTTATCTATTTAAGAATGCTAACTATCCCTATTTTAAATTCATTGTTCATATGTTCCAATCATTTCACATCATGTGGACTGTGTTCGTTATTTGGTTTGTTTTACAGAGGTTTTACTAATTGGGCATCTTGCTATTTTGACTCATGAGGTCATGTTTTCCTGAGGTCAGTCCTGTCTGGCAATGTAAATGAGAGGAACCACACACACTGTGGATAGTCCTTTAGTGGTTTTAAAGAGATGGTGAGAGATCACTTTCAGGATAGAGAAAACCCTTAGCACCATCAAATTTATGATCAGCTATGTCTGTTCATTCCTTTGAGTAACTCCTCTATCAGGAATTCCCTTTTAAATTCTTAAAATTAAGCAACAGTGGGAAGAGGTCATCTCTTTAGGCGGTCTTTTCTCAGACCTGGGGGTTTGGAGGTGTTGGAGATGGAGACAACGGTGTCCAATAGCAGGACGACTAGTTCTCCTAGACCCTTCATCAATGGGTTTACTCTACTGACACCACAATGGTGCCTTGGGATAAGGCAATAGGGTGGACAATAATCACCCAAAACAACAGGAAAGAAGAGAAGACGGAAGTAGAAATCTACCTGAACTACTCTTTCTGTTTCTTGCTTGGCTGCTATGCAGACTGTGGTGGTCCTATGGACTTCAAGGCCACTTTGCCTCTCCTGCTGTTCTTATGGTTTTTGTTACTTGGCTGGCTCCATGTTTTCTCTAAATCAGGTAGTCTCTCCAGGTTTGATTTGGGAGGAAGGCACCAGAAGCTGGAGTTAGTTCCCTATCTGGTCACCTCTTACTTTTGAATTCTCTTCTGAAGAGTTGCTGATGGAGAATGGTAATTGGCATTGAGCTGGTGTCTATAAGGGGATACGCTCAATCTAATTTGAGTCAGTTTACAGCCCACATCAGGGGTACTGAACTCAAGCTTATCTACAGGAAAGATCACTCACATATTCTGACCCCAGCAGGGCCTGCACAAGGCAAAACTGGGCATATGATGTAGTCTATGCCTTGTCCCCTTTGCCGCTCTCTGATGTGGCGTACAGCCCCTTTTTCATGGGTAAGGAAATCATGCATTTCATACGGGTTAGGACTGACCTATTTTGTTCGTTCTTCCCCATCTAAATACAAGTTGCTTTTTTACCATTTGCTCTATGTGTGATTAGAAAATAGTTATTCCACCTAACAAGATCTCATTTGCTGGACCCATTATACTTCAGATGCTGGATACCCTAAAATCTTGCCTTCTGGCAAATCAATCTGAATATTCAGAAAAATGAGTAAAGTCACAAACATGTGATTTCTCACAGAACATTTACAGATAACCTCAAAACTGGTCTGCACACACACAAGGGCACAAACCACAATTATTG